GAACTTTCCTCTCCAGATGTGTTATTGGAGTGTGGAGGGGACACTTGGCACCATGGACCTGCACACCTGGCTCTGGGGCTCTCAGCTGGGTCAATCCCATTGTCTCCTGGGAGCCTGAGTGGGATCACTTCCACCAAGGGGTCAGTCTCTTTGTTTCCCTCATTATGGGTGCTTCTCTGGCTCAACTTGGCCTTCTGCTCTGTAGCACTGTCCCTTGTTCTCAGATATGTTGCCCTTGTGGGCGCTGGAGCAAGACTTGAGCAGTCTAGTAGCAGTATGATGCTGCCCAGTATAATAATGAGACAAGAGTCACTGCTAACAAAAGTGAGTCTGAAATCTCTGAGCCTCACTGAGCTGCATTTGAATTGAATCTGAGAACACATGGCTTTTGTGTCAAGCACCTGCATTTTAGGGTGGCTTATTGCAAGGTGATGGCTGACACTTGTAATCATTTGGTCATGGTTCACGGAGATGGCAGGATGTTCAGGCCTTGACTTGGGGTAGCCACTCTGAGGGCTTTTTGGAATTTCAGTCACGCTTACTGGGGGAGATGAGTACAGCTTTGTAGCAGCTGTCTTCAAAGAAAGAAAATTTTTTCCTTAAAAAGCATCTGTGTTCATCTCCTTTGCTTGAATGAGTCACATGCCCACCTTGAAATAAACCCTACGAAGACTACTCTAGCCTCTGCGTGGGAGGGCTGGTCTTTGTTGGTCACCAGAGTCACCAAGAGGTCCTCCCATGCAGGAGGCCACAGGTCACAGGGCATCAGACAGGCAGGCAAGAAGAGTAGAGCCGGGAGCAAGAGCCATGTAAGTGAGCATGACTGAGCAGTACGGCAGGATGTGTGGACCTGGGAGCTAGAGAATGGTTAGGCATTCAGTGGTCAAGAAGGGGAGAAAGTGGAAAGAAAGTCATGCCATAAAAGAGCAGCATGGGAGCTTAAAGTGCAACGAATGTAGAAAGAGAGTGCCCTGGAGCACAGCACCACAGTGGCAGCCAGGGCAGCCTGATTTTAACACTGGCAGTGTCTCTCCTCACTGGATCTGGAATAAGTTTCTCCAAGAGCACCTGAAGATTGGGCTAAGAGGTCTTGGTATCCTTTGCTGAGACACAAAATCCTCTAAGGGGAACACAGTGAGTTCACTTTGCTTTGTAGGGTCTATCTGCCCCTCTCTAATATTTTTAGCTTTATACCAAGTACAAAGCACACTTGTTGAATCCTGTTCAAAGATAAGTGTCCACAGGATTTAACAAATAACTCTACCCCTGGATTGTAACCTGCTTTTGCTGCCATGTTTTTCTGGTGGTGAAAACAAAACATTAAACACAAAAAGATAAAATAATCCGAAAAGCCTCCAAATCCCACACTTAGCTGGTCTTTCTTGAGTGGCGTGGGGCAGTTTCACTGTGCAGGTAGAGATCAGGTGTTCAGCCCTTGTGGGGCATTGAGGTGCAGACTGTTGAAGAACTTTGTGATTTTACTGCTGCTACAGTTTGATGTCAGTGGAATGGGCCAGAGATCAGGTGGACAGCAACTCAGCTCAGGGCCTCTTATCTCCTGGGAGATACTCCCTTGGGCCCACAACCCCTCCCTTCCTGTGTTCCTCCAGAGGAGAGCTCAGAGCTACCAGGCAATGGAGTCTCAACTGCACACCCCATGGTCAGCCACTCTCAGGAGGTGAGGGGTGTGGCAGGTGTGACCTGGACTGAACAGGGTGCTGCCCAGGCCCCTCAGCTGGGCAGGTAGCAAGGGTAGGCAAGCAGCCAACTCTCAGAGACCAGAGGAAATGTCCCTAGGATACAGAGACTAGAGGAAGGATTGGTCTCTGTACCGTAGGGACATTTTCAGGCTCCTGCTGGTTCCTTCCTTTCACTCTGGTCCCCCTACTTGCTATTGGTGGGTCCTGAGACTCCTGGGTACTGTGACAAGCACAAGCTTGCATGTCCTGGAGAAGATTCATAATCAATTCAGGACTCTTGACTGCTCTGGGTTTGGGTTTGCTAATAGGAAAGGATAGAAAAAAGGAAGGAAGGCAGGCAGGCAGGCATCAAGGAAAGTGGGCAGCCAGAAAGGGAGTTAGGAAAGTAGGTAAGAAGGAAGAAAGGCAGGCAAGAAGAAAGGAAGGCAGGAATAAATGAATGAATGTATAAAAGGAGGCAGGAATGAAAGAAGGAAGAAAGAAGCAGGAAAGAAAGCAGATAAGAAAGAAGGAAGGCAGGAATAAGGGAAGGAAGACAGAAGTGCAGGCAGGAAGGAAGGAATGCAAGAAGACACGCAGGCAGGCAAAAAGGCAAAAGGAGGAGGGTGATGAGAGCACAGACCTTCTGGCTGCTGGGAGGACTTGCTGCATTGTGGACTTGGGGCTCCGCTGTGAACAGTGCTCCTCTCCGTTTCCTGTTGTACACTGGAAGCTCTGAGGTCTGTACAGGGACTCTGGGTGGGAAGACCTGATCTGCCAGCATTAGGAGTCCAGTTCCAGTCAGCTCTGCTGACTTGAGGTCTGCATGGAAGAAAAGATTTGGCAATGTTAGTCCCTCCTCACTTCCTACTGGTCAGATAAACTGACAGACAAAAGCATTAGCAACTCTTGCAGTTTTGAAGCACAGTCAACTCACTCCGTACAAGACTTTAATTTTGCATCCTGGCTCACACTTGTTCCTTAGGGTGGGCACAGTGATGGTCCTCACTGAGAGTTGGCTGCTTGCCCACCCTTGCCGCCTGCCCAGCTGAGGGGGCTGGGCAGCAACTTGTTCAGTTGGTGTCGTACATGCCCGACCCCTCGCCTCCTGACCGTGGCTGACTGCAAGGTGTGCATTTGAGACTCCATTGCCTGGCAGCTCTGAGCTCTCCTCTGGTGGCCCTGCCAGAAGCTAGCCTGAGTGTTCCATGGCCTGAAGGTGGATTGTCCACAGCAGCCCTGACCCAGACTCTTAGGTTCTAGCGACTCTGTTCTGGAGCCTCCCCTGCATGAACTGAGCCTCTGCTTCATGGATCTCTTCTGTGTGATGCTCTGGGATGATAAGGACACCCTGCTGTCATGGTTCAGGATATAAAACCTCTTGGGCTGCCACATGGTTGCTATGTCCTCCAACAGAGAAAAGGATCTCTTACGTGGGGCTCCGTGGCTTCCAGAATGCTTTATATTGCTCCATTAAGATGCTGCTGGGGGACAGAAAGTTGCTTTTTGTTGTCCAGCGATAGAGACAGCAGAGAGCTTAGTATATGTCTTCTTTGCTCTTTTGACCTGTATTCAATATTTTCCTGCCCCCAATTCGATCATTTTAGAATAGAGAAGTAATCAAACTCTCTGCCCAGCCCATTTAACAAAGTCAGAGTAACTAAATATCAGAGTCAAATAAAGACCAAAACATTGCAGACAAACCCAGACCCATTTATTTATTTATTTATTTTAGGGTGGTTATGTGTTTATTATAGCTGTATTCACATACAGACGATCCTTAATATATTAATTTTTCTGTATAATAAAAATTTTATAAATGCTTTTACAAATCTTACAGATGAAATAGTCAGTCTATCAGACATGAGACAGATGATACCAAAATGACTTATGATTCTATAGAGGAGTCTTTTTTTTTTTACTTTTTTTTTTTTGTCTTTTTCCTTTTTATCGGTACCAGGGATTGAACTCAAGACTGCCTGCTTGTAAGGCAGGCACTTATGCCGCTGAGCTAAATCCCCAGCCCTAAAGGAGTCTTAAAACACTATATGACACTACATTCCAAATTATGTGACACAAAGATTTTAAATATTAATGTTTTAAGTAGATATCTAAGCTATAGCCTTTAATTCTGCAGGCTGCCAATGATAAAATATTATAAGAAGATACAATTTATTTTGTGGTCTGACTGTTGTTTTAAATTTTGTAGCATATTTTTCACCTATACCTCTATTGATTTTTGGTTTTTACTCTCAGTATTTTAATAAAATATTTTTCTAAATAAGTTGTTATCAACATTTTATCAGGTTGAATGGACAACTATTGTGAAGATAATGAGATATACTGTGATACCTATTACTGTTATCCTGGTATCCTGCTGTGAAGTTCTGTACCAGTTTCACTGCATTGTCTCGGCTGGCTCTGTTCTGTCTTGTTCGGTTGTATTTTACTACTTTCAAAATTAAAAAAAATATTTTATCAGGCAACATTTTAATGTTAAACAGAAAACTTGCTGAATGTGAAAGTGAATATTTAATTAAGAAAGAAAAAGCAAAATACCTTCTTTAACCACAAAGATTCAAGCACTGTCTACCTAGACATTTTAAGTAGAAGTCTTGAGGACACAGAGTAGGCAGAGAAACAAAACCCAAACTGCACAGGAAATACTTCAAAGAATCAACAATTGGAATCTCATTTTACTGAAAAGTTTTTGCACATCAAAAGAAATCACCAAGAGTGGGAAAAAAATTTAGCCAACTGTCTTTCAGACAAAGAACTTCTATATAGAACATCTGAAGAATCGAAAAAAGTCAGCCCCCCCCCCCCCCACTCAAAGACCCAATCCAAAAATGGGCCTCTGAGAAGAAGACACACTTCTTGGATGAAGAAATACAAATGGTGAATAAATATATGAAAAAACCGTTCAACGTCATCAGTCATTCGAGAAATGCAAATTATAACAACGCTGAGATTCCATCCCAGACCCATTTCGGACGAGTGACGCCCGACTGCCCCAGGGTCAGCGACACCGTGCCCAGAGAGCACTGCCACAGCCCGGGGTTGCGCCCGGTCCCGGCTCTGCTCCCGCCTTTTGGGACGGGAGCTGGGAGCACGCGCTGCTGAGGTCCAGGCCGTTCCTTCAGAATTCCCCAACCTCAGCCCTTCACCGGAAGGCCAGAATCTTCCGCTGAGCGCAGACCGGACCGCGATGACCCAGAGGTCGCGCGACTTCGGGCTTTGCCTCTGCACAGCACAGCGCTGCTGCCCGCCAGGACACTGCCGCCCCGCTCGGCCCGCGGCGGACGACCCTCCCACTTCAGTAACCACAGGGCGCCCCCTGGAGCCCGGGGCTCGGGCCCTGGGCACGGTCTCCCATGCTCTGCGTCTCTCCCGCGGGGCTTCCGCAAGTGGGAGGGCGGGAAGGCGGCCACGCTCTGCGCGGACGACTAAGGAAGGCGTGGTACACTAAGCTGGGACTTCAGCACACGCTGCACCAGGACAGTCGGGAAAGGTGCAGACATTTTGCACAGGACGAGCTTGGCGCTTAGCTTGGAGACCTTCCCTCCTCAGGGCTCAGCGGTCTGGCTGGGCGGGAGTCTGCTCTGCAGCTTTCTGCTGGTGGCTATCAGGAGCACAGGTGGGGACAGGAAACGGGGACCCGGGGTAGGGTGGAGGGGAGACCAGGGAGGGGATGCAATCAGGAGGGGAAGAAGCCCAAAGGTGGGGCACAGACCCCTGTGCGGTGAAGATGGGGGAGGGGTGCCGGGAGGGAGACTGAGACCCAGACGGGTCCCATGTGTGCACGTGGTTAGCATGGATTGAAGACAGTGATGTGCACATACATTGCTCCAGACCACTGTGTTCAGTCTCAGCTTCGACCTGGAGCTTGGGTGGTGGTGGATGTCGAGGCTGGGACTTGTCTTTCCCAAAAGAGTACAAGTCTATGTGTTCTCCAGAAATCTGAGCTCCCGACTTTATGGCAGGGACTTCATGGGATTTTATAAGGTGTAGGGGCCACTTTGGAGCATAAACTCGGGACCAAGATAACAGGCATAAAAGGTGCCCCTGTCCTGGGCCCACAGACATGGCACCCCTTTATGGAGAGGTAGGCAAGCCTGTGTGTTGGAGGGTGTATCCCAAGGCCTGGAGCCTCTAAAAACTGTACCTGCCACCCCTGCTCTTAGGTGGTGCTTGCTTTGGCATGCTGTTGGATTTTATAAATACACTTTTAACCTCTTTGCATCACACAGAAACCTGTTTTACAGTAATTTTGCTGCATTCAGCGATGAACACCTCATTTCCCCTGCATTTCCTGGATCTCCACCTGAATGTCACCCATAGCAACTTCTCAGGAGTGGAGAGTGGGAACAAGTCCTCACCATGTGAAGACATGGGCATTGCTGTGGAGGTGTTTCTGACCCTGGGCCTTGTCAGCCTCTTGGAGAACGTCTTGGTCATTGGAGCCATCATGAAGAACAAGAACTTGCACTCCCCTATGTACTTCTTTGTGTGTAGCTTGGCAGTAGCGGACATGCTGGTGAGCATGTCCAATGCCTGGGAGACGATCACCATCTACCTGATCAACAACAAGCACCTGGTGATCACAGATACTTCTGTGCGGCACATTGACAATGTGTTTGACTCTATGATCTGCATCTCTGTGGTGGCTTCCATGTGCAGCTTGCTGGCCATCGCAGTGGACCGGTACATCACCATCTTCTATGCCTTGCGCTATCACCACATTATGACAGTGAAACGTGCCACGGCAATCATTGTGGTCATCTGGAGCTTCTGCACGGGTTGCGGCATTGTTTTTATCCTATATTATGAGTCCACCTATGTCGTCATCTGCCTCATTTCCATGTTCTTCACCATGCTGTTCCTCATGGTGTCCCTGTACATACACATGTTCCTCCTGGCACGGGCCCATGTCAGGCAGATCGCAGCTGCACCCAGATACAGCTCTGTGCGGCAGAGGGCCAGCATGCGGGGTGCTGTCACCCTGACCATGCTGCTGGGGGTGTTCATCGTGTGCTGGGCACCCTTCTTCCTCCATCTCATCCTGATGCTCTCATGCCCCAAGAACATCTACTGCTCCTGCTTCATGTCTCACTTTAACATGTACCTCATCCTTATCATGTGCAACTCTGTGATTGACCCTTTGATTTATGCCTTTCGTAGCCAGGAGATGAGAAAGACTTTCAAGGAGATTATTTGCTGCCATGGCTTCAGGATAGGCTGTCAGCTTCCTAACAGGTATTAGATAGACATAGCCTTCCCCTTGCCAAGGCTCTCATTTCTCGCTTGAACATCCTCTAGGTTCAGCAAGAGAGTCACTTGCAGCTCAAGTCTGTGCTTCAGAGAAACATCTGTTCTGCGGCTGTTGCCGTGTCAGATGTACTCATATTGTAATCTGCTTTGGGGAATGGGCGGTGAGAGTTCATCATTGGCCTTTTTTGCCCTATTGCTTCTTTGCCTCCTCTTGTTTTTGGAGCTGTATCCATCCTTCATCTAGAAAGAGTGTCCTTGGCGAATTCATGATGCCCCAAATGCAAGTCTGAGCATGGATAGGCACAGGCTGCTTTTGGAAGCACAGCTAAATATCCATGTCAAGCGGGATTGCTTGTTCACCCAGAAGTGGGTCGGCACTTTGCTTTGGGAATACAGTGTGTGTTTCAGGAGGGACACACTGTCAAATCCTTTCCATTTGAAATTTCCTGCATTGGTCATGGATGTCTCTGGAGCCCCCCTTTCCTGAACTTATAGTTTTATAGCCTATAATCACAATGGTCTGAGGATGGAATTTCTTTCATTATATTTCTGTCATTCATGGTTTTACATTTACTCAGACATAAAACTTTGTGCTACAAAACTTGCCTCATGTTGTAGAAATGTCTGTGTGTTCTACTTTCTGCCTTATTCTAGTTTAATTTAGGGCTTCTCAGCGAGCGTTGGGGCTCTCTCTCTAGATCTCCCTGCACATAGTGTATGTCTACAGCCAGGCTGTGTCTAGTCATCTCACCGTGGTCTCTCCTGATGTCTGTGTCACTGCATCCTTTGTAGCATCTCAATCTGACCTGCACTGAGGGTCAGAGTCCTATTCTGTTGCTCAGGAGCCCTACCTTCTCCATCTAAATGGAGGAGTGAACTTTGAATCTATGGTCTTAAGCTCCACATTCCAGGATCCATCTCTGCTGATCTCCCAGGAAAACTGCAGAAGGACATGGAGAACTTTTTATCTTTCTATGGTATTACAGAGGTTTTTTCTATAATGAAGAAATGACCCAACTTTGCTTTCTGTCTGTTTAGATAGTCACATCTAACTGCTTTTAGTAAAACAAAGTTTAAATAAAGTAGTGAACCATGAGTCATATGGCAGTGAGCCCTTGGTGTAAAAAGGTACCCTTGTTCCCAGAGGAGAGGTTACATTCACAGCTTGCATAGACACCATGGTCTGCATCCACGGGAAAGCTCACAGATATCTGAATCTTTGGGGAGGGTACATTAGTAGGCTACTAGTACCTGAGTCTGATGGAACTCAGGTTAGCCTTTCAAGGGTCTCCTGTTCCTTCAAATGTATTGGGCAGTCCTAGGTGTGAACAGGAGTGTAAAGTAAGTGATCCCAACTGAATCACATGAAATTGCAGTCTGCTGTGCATGACATTTCTCCGAATTCCGGCTCTGTAACACTGCCATGCACTAGGGTCCTTGTTACTCACATCTATAGTCTTGAGTCTTCTGGGAGGCAGCCCAGAGGACAGAACAGGTCAGCAGATCTCTTAGACTATAGATAGACAAAGCTGTAGCCTCCCTGGCTTCCAAGGGTGCTTGGCTATAGTCAGGATGGTTCTCTGCTCTCGGTGCTTCATGACCCACTGCAAGATCTGGCCTTCCCATGAAGTCTTTCAGCAAGTGTTCCAGTGCCTTCAAGTCTTGGTGTCATCATGTGTCCAAATTTGTCCCTGGTTGAAGCAATGTGGAAAATATCTGTCAATGAGCCAATTCTTGGCACCCAATATAAAGCCCTGCCCTCAACACCTAGCTGCCAGATACATATGTTTATCCACTTCTGTAGGAAATGTATTTGGTGTAATACTATCCATTGAAAGAAAAAGTTAGTAAACCAGAAGCCTGCATCAATTAAAATATATATAAATAAAATTTTATATAAAAATAAAATGTAAGAGCTAGATCACCCATTTGGCCTTTCAGATGTGTGGTATTCCGGATTTGTGTTTTCTGCCAGTCTGTCAGCAGCTGCTACAAAATGAGGTCCATCCATCTGTGAATCTTAATGAAATTTACTTCTGTTTTACCAAGTTTATACCAACTTAGGAGATATTCACCACCAATAAAATTTCTCAGGTCACAATATTATTACCACTACAAATAAAATTATACACTTGACTTTAACATGCTGTCCAAAAATTTATCTTGGTAAACAGGTGTTTTGAAGCTCCTGTGTGCAAAATATGGAGGTAGAGGCAGGTGTTATTAGAGAATCTCTGCCATATAAAGAATCCATAGATGAACTATTTCAACAAATGAATGTTTCAAGATATGCACAAGTGCTGTCCCCAGCACAAGATCCTGCATGTAATCACTGAGGATCAATGGACTCAGGCTCTGTACCCTAACACAAGGGGTGATACCATGGACTCTGGAAGACGCTCTCCATGTGCCTGAATTGCATTCCATTGGAGGGTCGGGTATAGCTCTGAGACTTTGGGTGCAAGGGTAACTGGAAAAGGGCCCTAGTAGTTTATCTGTGGAAGCCAATGTAGAGGACAATTACCTGGTTTCTTCTCCAGGCCAACAAACAGCAGAGCACGGGGGGCCACGCAGGCACTCCTTTCCAGGACAGGGACAGCTGGGACATACGCCATGGTCAGCAGCAACCACACAGGAGTGTGTATGCCTCCCATCTGCTCCAGGACTACTTCTGTCTTTGTTTTCTCCCACATCAACCTCCAAGACTGCTAGGATTACAAGCAGTGCCACCACACCTGGCCCTCATCTTTTGCCTTAATTACTGTACACACAATCTGTTGGGCTTTGAGGAATTGGGCTTTTACTTTCCCCAAATTAGCTGTGTGGCCTCACATCAAGGTGGGCAGCAAATTCACCCCTGCTATACCCTTGATGTTGGTGAAGAGCTGCTGTGTCTGAAGTGATAGCTTGAGACCAGGGCTGTGGCCACCAGGAGTCACTGTGAGGGTTGTGTGTGGACTTATGTGGCAGGCACCTCCCACAGCTCCCACTAGCTCCTGTAGTTGATGGTCAAGCATCAGAATGGTAGAGTGAGGGAGTGGATCTGGGGTTGGGTCCCCAAATGGCATCACTGTCCCGAGAGAGGGAATATTAGAACTGTAAGGGGGAAGGCAGACCTTTGAGCTTACCGTGTGTGTTCCTGAAGGGGTGGGTTGAATTGGAATGGGTGCCTGCCTTGCAAGCAGGCAGTTGTGAGTTCGATCCCTGGTACCGATAAAAATGAAAAAGTCAAAAAAAAAAAAAAAAAAAAAAAAGAAAATGGAATTGAAATGGGTGTAGAAGACAGCAGGATGTCAACTGGGAAAACATCGAGTTGAAGTGGGTGTTTATTAGGAGTGAGACAGCTAGGTTCATTCTAAGGTTGGTTAAGAGCAAGTGGGGAAATCACTGAAAATCACTGGAAACTAGAGGTAACATTTTGTGGCCTTTGAATATAAAGGGGAACTTGTTTTCCAGGAATTAGGGAGTACCTGAGGGCTTTCTTTCAATTCCTCTCTGTTTAAGTGGATGGCAGGATCTGTTAAAAGCTGTGCTTGTGCATGTTTTTATAGGAAATTTGCACTGACATAGGTGAGATGCACAGGAAGCTGACAGAGTCCAGGAGGATGAGGGGGTCTCAGGCTGGAGGCGACAGGAAGTCCCTTTGTGGGGGAGACTTTTTTTGGATCCCCTTAATGGACACAGAATATGCAGAGGACTTCCAGCCAGACTTGACAGTTCTTACCACTATTCTGACATTATGTTGGATCCTCTTCCAGGTTCTAGGTTCAGAATCTTGGGACCCTGTACTGAGTGAAAGCTCTTTCTATTTCTCTTTGATACCTTTGGATCATGACTTGCTGTGTGTCTCTGGCATCCTTTCACCAACACATTCCTCCTTTCTTTGGCATTGCCATGCTAACTTGGAAGACAAATGAGGTTCTTCAGCCTTTTAGTCCTGGTTCTGGAGGAGAGATTTGACTATGAGTTTTCCTTATACTTGCTCCTTCCTGTGGGGCATGAGCTGTGTGTTGAGCACAGCACAGTCAGGGTGAGTGACACACGGAGGCTCTGAAGTGAGCTTCCCTTCACTGGTGCTGTGATGCATCTATCATGTTAGCCTAGGTCAGGCTAAAGCTGTGTGGCCAGAAATGGATGAGTGATGGAAATCAGGACCAGGTTCTGCACAAAGCAAAACCTCTAAATTCCCTATCATAGTGTCCTTCTCTTCTCCACTAAATTGCTGGTCTGTTTTTCCTTCTCTCATGGACACAAGGCACATGACAGCCTGGCCTCTGCTCTGTCCACCCTGCCGATGCACCATCCACCACTACAGATTGTTCTCTGCCTGCCCTCTTGCTCCATGTGCCATGATGGAAACTATTATCTATGTCTTGTAACTTCCTCCCTAATGTCCATAGCACTGCATCTGGTGCCAATGTTTGCTGGTTCTTTTTTCTCTCTACTCCCACACTTAGGCTCATCTTGTGAGCCTTTAGCATCTTTCCTTTCATTTTTTATAACTTTTCTCCCATTGATCTCATCAACTTTTTTACTCCAAGATTAAAAATTTGATTTTTTTTCTAACTTTTTATCGGTACCAGGGATCAAACTCACGACTACCTGCTTGCAAGGCAGGTGCTTATGTCGCTGAGCTAAATCTCCAGCTCCTAAAACTTTGTTTTTGTTAACATGAGTTTGTTAACATGAGATTTAAATGTTCCCCAAGTCTCCTGTGTTCAGAAGTAGTGCTATGGGAAGGTGATTGGCTCATGGAGGTGCAGTGCTTATCGTGATGCTTGCCCCACAACTACAGGAGCTGTGGGAGGTGCCTGCCACGTGAGTCCGCACATGACCACCCCGTGGCTCCTGACCTTGTAAGGGGATTCATCAGTGAGTGCCTACTGCATGTGCAGTTAGGAGGTGGTTGCTGTGCATAACCTGGAAGGATGTGTTCTGTCCCCAGCTCTTTCCTCTCTCGGTTGCCTGGTTGCCATAGGATGAATGGCTTTCCACCACCAGGCCCATTAGCCATGCTGCTTCTGCCTTGGTGCCAGCCAGCCCTGGTCTGGAACCACAAGGCAAAATAAAGCGTTTCCTCTTTTAAATTGTGGCTGTTAGATATTTTGTCCCAGCAATGAAAAAATGACTAATGCAATGTGTTAATCTTATGTTTTTATGGGGCTCAGTGTGATATTTCTACACACATGCATAGTGTGCACTGGGCTTCTTTTTGTCAATACTGCCTTCCTTTTTCTGCCTCTGGTAGTCACTAATCTATATCCAGGTTGACTTTTTTGATCATTGTTTTTAGCTTTCCCTTGTGATATATCTGTCTTTATGTGCCTATTTAATATAATGTCCTCCAGTTTAATTTATTCTGCTGTCAATGACAAGACTTCATTCTTGATGGCTAATACTTCATTGTGTGTGCCACAGTTCCTTTATCCACTCACCCAACGGCAAGCACCCAGGCTGCTCCCATCTTGGCTATTGTGAATAGTGCTGCAGTAAGCATGGGTGTGCAGGTGTCTCTTTGGAGTGCTGACTTCATTCCTTTTGGATATAGCTAGGGTGAAATAGCTGGATCATATGGTAGTTCTGTTTTTCATTTTTTGGGAGAACAACCTTTTCTCCATAATGGCCACACAAATTTTTATTCTTACCAGCAGAGGATAAAGATTCCTTTTGTTCTATGTTTTTGCCAGCATTTGTTAATTTTTGTTGTTTGATAACAGCTATTCTGAGATGAGATGATATCTCCTTGTAGTTTTGATTTGTATTACCCTGATAGCTAGGGATATTGAGCCCTTTCTTACCCATATTTTTGCTATTTGTACTCTTTTAACTTGACAAAAAAGATTCCAAAATCCATGATGCCAAGCTTACCTTTTAAATTTCTGCCCGGTGTTTAGGGAAATGCATGCCAGCATCTCAGGCTCAGCTTCCCACAGACCTTCTTCCTGCCTCCCCTGTGAATCTTCTCTCTGGTCTCTAAGTTCAGGGACTCTGGAGGCCTCTTGGGCTCTCATTTCTCTAGGAATCTCTGGAGCATCATTGCCAAATCCTGTTGTGTCTACTGTTGACATGCTGCATGATTTAATTCCCCCTGTCACAGACAGGTTCTCTTTCATCACCTTTAAGTTTGGGTTTTTGTATTACTATACAAACCTTCCCCAGATTCAGCCTGCAACCTGCTTCCAGGCCTGACCTGAGAGTGTCACTTTCTCTGGAATCCTTCCACAGCTTCCCAAGTTTTCCCTGTTAAGTACCAAATCCTCACCTTTACCTTCAGGTATCTTCAACATGTTACCTAGTCTTCTGCTCATCCTTCACATCAGTGTGAATAGACATCTCTGGACTTGGTGCTTTTCTGCTTCTGGATCTCTAGGAGCCTTAAAGTGGACTTCAAATTCCTTTTCCTCCTCAAAGCCTTGGCTATCCATATCTGTGAATTCCTTTAGGATTCCAGGAGCAGACCAATTCCTTGTTCTTTACCAGGACGCAAGAATCTTTGTGGGAAGTGACTTATATTAGGGCATGGAGATTTCTTTTTTTCTTTTTTTTTTTAAATTTTATTTAAGGAGAAAAGAAAAAAAGCAGAGAAAGGGTACAAGTTATACAGATTTGCAGAAAAAAAATGAACAGTAGGAAATTACTAGTTAATGGATTACATATTGTCATCTTAGAAATAATTGTTCAAGTCACAAAATTAAAGCTTGTAAAGTAGACATTCCATCAATGATACTGCAAACAGTTCTGTTCAATGATCCAATAAAACTCTGTGATATCATTTTCTATCTTATACACTTAAATATACATGCAGTTATATAGTACAGAGCACTTTCTTTTCCTCTCTTTTGTACAATGACTATTACACATTTTGGGTTTCATTGCTCCCATGGTTCTTATTACTTTTTTGGAAGAGAGTAAAACCAAATGTGACATAACAGAACAGAATCGGTCAAGTCAAAAGGGTGGACATAATAGATAATGTGAAAACATAATACAAGGTGATCAACAATGGTTACCATAATGCCTCCCGCTATCTCTAATAGAATTGCCTATATTGTTAGTTACAATACAATTGAACAAAACTGTAAAGAATAAAACCGACAAAACCAAAACATTGGAGACATTGTAGGTCTTCAAAAATAG